TGTGTGTGTGTGTGTGTGTGTGTGTGTGTGTGTGTGTGTGTGTGTGTGTGTGTGTGTGAGAGAGAGAGAGAGAGAGAGACCTGCTGGCAAGCTGGCAGCGTTGTCGACTGGGGATGGCTGGCTACGACTCCTAGCGGCGTCTGCTGGACGATGGCTTTAGCTATCGCTTCACTGCTTGCGGCTGGTTGGCGATGGCTACAGTGCCGACTTTGGCACATGCAGCGAGGAGTCGAGGACACACACGACAGAACTGGCAGCAACGACGGGCGGGGGATTCGAAATCGGCAACTTCGAAATTACCCCGCCAACAACCCAATACCCTGCCAAAAACCCAATACCCCGCCTCAAGCACCGAACACCCATCCTGACTCACCTGTGTCTAGTAGCGGGACCTGTGTCCGGTAGGCGGAAACATGCTTGAAAAATCATCCCGTATTTTTCAGGGGGCGCCCAGGACCCGGAAGTGTCCTGGGCTGCCTATTTTATGTTTTTGAGTTTTTGCCTCGCACCCTCTCTCCGGACTTTCGGTACTGGACACCGGACCCGGACATTTGGCCCCAGACTGTCTGGAACCAGGTCCGGACGTCTGGTCGGTTACCATGTTTCTGACTGTCCGACATTTGACAACTTAGACAGTTGTCTCTTATCACACTACATTACAAATATTGTGAATCAAATGAGCTGTAATGAACCTAGTCTGACAGATACTCAGAAGTCGTCAAATACCTGTAGAATCTGTATCTGCAGCACAGTCTCCAATTCGTGAAGAAATATATCAAACAGTATCTCATTATCATCAATAGAAGAGAGTGGAGGGGGAACAGATAAAGGAGAAGATAAAGAATCAAACAATAATCCCTGCTGGACCCTCTCCTTCTCCGGGCTTCTCCCCTCTTCACATTAACAAAGATAATAAGTATATTCCTGATCACACACGTAAGTGCCACGTCGCACTCGATCTCACGAAGACCATGAAGACATTGCAGATTCCAGTATCGACTTCGAAACCAG